CGTGCATCTTTTCAGCAATCATGTATCTATTCAACAATCACGTATCTATTCACCAATCACACATCTATTCAACAATCGTGCATCTTTTCAGCAATCGTGCATCTATTCAACAATCACGTATCTATTCAACAATCACACATCTATTCAACAATCGTGCATCTTTTCAGCAATCATGTATCTGTTCAACAATCACGTATCTATTCAACAATCACATAACTATTCACCAATCACACATCTATTCAACAATCACGTATCTATCCAACAATCACACATCTATTCGACAATGGGACATATCTATTCGACGATCAGGCATTTATTTATGGCGTAGCAATGGTAAGACGGGGTTCTCTCGCACGTGTGCGGGTGCTGGATTGTTATATTGTCTGTCACCACCACCACCAACGTGTATATTGCAGGCGGGCATCCCTGCGGGCGTGGTCAACGTGGTGCCGGGGTACGGACCGACCGCTGGTGCCGCCCTCACCGAACACATGGACGTCAACAAGATCTCGTTCACGGGCTCAACTGAGGTGAGTTTATTAGAGGGGTAAGGATTGTCCAAGGTGAGTTCACAGGCTCGATTAAAGTGAGTTACCGGGAGTCGACCGAGGTGAGTTCACAAGAGGGGGGTTCGACGGAGGTGAATTATTGAAGGTCGACCCAGGTGAGTTCATAAGATTGGTAGCGGTCGACCAAGGTGAGTCCAAGGCAAGAAATCAAAAGTGATGATTAGAAAGACGATGACAAAAATGGTGACCTCCTGTGTGTCTGTTTGCAGGTGGGGAAGCAGATCCAGTGTGCCTCGGGAAAGACGAACCTGAAGAGAGTTTCGCTGGAGCTGGGAGGCAAGAGTCCGAACATCGTGTTTGCTGACGCCGACCGTGAGTGTTAGCTAGACCTCGAAGCCCAAGACCTAAACACTAAAGATGAAATTGTTACGGTGGGATGCTGAAAGGGACAAAACGGGAAATTCGTAAACGAAATGGAACCCAAAATATAGATGTTCGTTCTTCACTCCTTATTTCGGCAGACAAACGGCCCCTTGTCGACTGCCCGTGCGCGAGCATTTTCCCCGCCATGAACCGTCCGGTGCTGCCCCCTCGTGTCCCAACGATTTTAGGGCCCCCCATCCATTTCGCTACAAAATCTTAAACCTTTCACATCTCGAAATCTAAAATCTAAAAACCGTTAAATTTAAGACTTGAGCATCGAATCACAAAGGGTGGTCTGCCACGCCTAGTGGAGTAATATCCTTGTTATCAACATCTTTATGTTGTAGTCTGACGCTCTCCAGTCTTCCCACATGGCTCTCACGATCCAACACTTGCAACAACACAATGCACGGATGCATGCACACACACAATCACTCATACACTCCTATCGCATCAGGGATTTTGCAGCAATGGTTAATACTTGCATGTTCACTGTCAGAAACACAAATATGTATGATATCAGTCAAGTTTACAATGTCATAACTTTTGGAGTTAAGTGTCATGCAATAGCAGTCAAGTTTTAAGTTAACGATGTCAAAATTATTAACATTATCATAAATCAGTAG